TTTGCATATTGATATTCGATTCATTTGACAAGTGTACGCCACCCAACCCTATTTACTACCAATAGAAATATACCCTGTCATAAGGTATATTCGCAAGTCATCTCTGAGGTGCACGTTTAGTAAAGTGAACGTCGCATTAGCCTATTAAGACAAGGACCAGAGAACCCGGCCTAGCCGGATGAACACCTATCTCTCTATCGCTTTCATGCTTTTATTACCTTGCATTTTCCAATAGTTGCGAATACTTTACCAAACCGAATGACAGAGGTCTTGATAATTACTAAGAATTATTACTTCAATATTTAAAACTTAAATCTTTGATGCTTGAAAGTACAAATATTAATATTCTTGATATAGATATTAATACATGTACTAAGACTCCTTTCCCTATTCCACATTATTACCAATTCTCTTTCAGTATCGTTTAATTATAATTATAATTGACACAACGCTTAATTAATTAACAGGTGAAGGGCATTCTCGTATAGATTAACCTTTCATCTCGTCTCTAACTCTCTAACACGTAAATCACGACTTAAACGTGAGTCACATTCAATTACCTTTGATTATTTAACTATCTCAGTTCTATTAAACATATTATTCATATAAATTTATTTAACCATTAGATGGTCTCTCCCTTCCGAAGGAAGAATCAAATTGATCGCGACGAGCAACGTCTCCACAGACTACGCGAACGTAGGACAAGAAGAGTCTTAAATTTACACGTCCAAATATTTCCTACGCGAGTAATCGTTCGATCCCCTTCTCCAGACGTTTATTCGCCTATAAATAACCTTCCGCCCTACATTGATTATTCTCACCCGCAATTTCCGGAGCCCTCGCCGTTAGAATCAAATACGTTAATAACAAACCCTAATCATCAATTCTTACCCGATCCTGAATATTATATCCCGGATCAAAATCTACCAATCACATCGCCAGAGTACGACCCCCTTTTACAATTTAACAACGAACAAACTTTTCACATTCTCAACGAGGACACCGCGAATCTCACTCACGACGTCGATAACGTCATCTCCGAGGAAGCGCAAAATAACTTCACTTCTTTTATAACTTACCTCAACCAGCCTAACAATCCGGAACTGGAGCTCAGTCATATTGTAACTCAATTTCAAGCTCCCCACGAACCACGTCAGGACCAATAAACTTTATATCGACGTAAAGGTTTTATAAATGAATAAATGACATTATATTTGTAAAATATCTTTATTTATCGACCCGACCCGTCAGTTTCCTTCTCCGTCCGATACTCTCAATCGAATCTCAAGCTCTCGGCTTCCCTGGGTATAGCCGGCCTAGCAGGTTGCCCATAAAACAAATAGAGAGCAGCTTCTTAAACGTCCACCGAGGTAGACGCGAGAGAAGACCGTCTTGTGCAGAAAGTAATTTATCGCTAGATGAATTATTGGACGTAACAACCGTCTTGTGCAAAAGGTAATTTATCGCCGGATGAATTATTGGACGTAACAGCCGTGAGTTTGTCGATTTCGAGAGCAACTTCGTCGTTCACATTTCCCGTTGTGCGGCGCTTGGCATCTAGGATCGCGGATCTGAGTTCCTTAACACGACTAATGTAATCTAACATATGCTCGTGTGGTTTCAAGTACACCGTACTAAGTTCTCCTTTATATTGATCGATTGTTTTCGCGGAGCCAAAAGTGAGTAGGTCTATTAATTGTACGACACTTTCGCAAGGTTCGTCCTCGACGGCGTAATAGGCGCGTCCACGAAGTTAAGTTTTTAGCAGAGCAGTGAGGTTCCGCTCCGAGGAAGGAGGAATGATTTCCCGAGCGCGACGACATGCTCGCGTGAATTGCCCTAGTGGTACGTTATACCCGTCGAAAAAAGGTACAGATTCCGTTGCTTCGCGAAATGAGACCTTGGGGAGTTGAGGCGACTCCATATGTGAGCCGGGTTGCCCGTTTGAATCGTCGAGGGACAATAAGGGTTATCCAGAGAGCCGTAGAGACGGGCTGGTCTCTCTGCGGAGACGAGCTACTTCCCGGCGCAATTCCTCCATTTCGGCAAGGATGCTATCTTTTAACGCCGTCATTTCTCGAACAGCGGCGTCCTCCGACGTTTTTTGCATTATTTCCCTAAGGGTTTCCAACTCGCGCTCTCTCTTATACTGCTTTTTACGTTGGTCGGTTAGGTAGGCGGCTTCGTCTTTCAAACTATTTTCTTTAGACCTTAACGCGGCTTCCCTAGTCTTTAATCTAGTCTGAGTTTCGGCTAACTCGGCTTCTCGTTGTTTTAGTTTCAACTGAATTTCAGCTAACTCTGCTTCGGAAAACTCTTTCCTCGTTCCCTCCTTTTCTACCGAATCTTCCCTTTCTCCTTGTTTCCGGCGCGTGTCAACCATAGCTCGGAAATTACGTATCCCACCGCTGTCACCAATTTTGTTACGTCTCGTTCGCAGTCGCGGCGTGTTATTCGAGAGTGTATGATTCGCGTTGCACGTGCTCGAACTATTGCGCGAGACAACGTCGTATTACGGAAATTTTTCCGGGGATACCCACGACGAAGGGTTTTTCGACAAAGGTTGCACGATGCGGAGGGAGGGGGAAGAATGTATTACCCTTAAGGTAGCAGTTACGACATAGAGCCTAACTGTAATTCTACAGTTATGATTGTGGTTCCGTCTTCTATTCTCGCCGGGACGCTATCTGGGTTACGCGAGTAGTCTTCGTATAGACTCGCAAAGTTCGCATAAATCACCCGCCCGTGAGAGGGTGAGGCGGTTGCTGCAAGTTCCGCAAACTATCCCAACCAGTAATCCACCTATGGTTAGGCTATGTTTCCGGATCCGCGTCCAGAACAATTTAGAAGTTCGAGGTAACGCGGCGAAGCATGAAAGACAAAGAGCGGCTTTAGTTTCAAAATGAATGTACCCGATACCGACTTGACAGTAATACGGAGGCTCGAGAGGTATTAGGAGATTAACTCCTGGGAGAGGGGTTACACCTCTAAAGGGGATTGGGTACATCTATAGCTGCCACGTAAGTTGTATTTTAAAAGATCATGCGTTGTTCGCTCGTAAATGGTTGATGAGACCGGACGTTGTCGAGAAGTCGATAAATGTCGGTAAAATAAGTCGATGTGGCGTCGATACAATGTCGACAGATGTCGGTAACGAACGTCGGTAGAGACCGTCGGTAAGTGGTCGGTAATCGTTGGTAACGAACGTCGGTAAGATGTCGGTAAAAGAACGTACGTCGGTATAATGTCGGTAATGTCGGTAGAAGAACGTATGTCGGTATAATGTCGGTAATGTCGGTAAAAGAACGTGTGTCGGTATATTGTCGGTAAATCAAGAGTGTTCTCAATTGATTATTGTTTAAGTGACTATTTTGTTGTACGAATTCTACGAAGTTATTTCTTGAGCCACGAAGATTTTTAAGAGATTGAATTATTTGCGTTTTTCCGTGTTAGAAGTTCGAGAGTTGCACCGCGTGTAATGGGCGACCCTAGTTTTATAGCCTGACCCTTTTTTTATAGCTTCCGCAGTGACGATGGAAAAGAGGAAAAATGCGTCGGAGATTTTTCTAGAATGTTCTCTTCCACGTGGTAGAAGCGTCTCTGAATTTGCTAACACGCGCGATTCCTTAGGTTAACATGAATTTCACTTACCTTTAGTAGCACTTTCTTGATCGTGTCGGCTCGTACTTGGAGGTAGTGCGTGCGGCGAGGGTCGTTCACTGGGATGTTTGGCGGCGGCAGGCGTCGTGGTTGGAACGTTATTAGTATGCACTTCCACTGTAGGAGTTCGTCGTTGTTATTATTTTTAATGTTGAAAATGTCCTCGTATTCAGGATCGGCTTGATACTCCACTCCGAGGAATTGAGAATATTCCTCAGTCGCTGATTCACGATAGAGTCGGTTTAGTTTTCGTAATTGATTCTTCCTTCCCGCGCGTCGCGTCTTTGGCATATTGAATTTGATGCATCCTCTGAATGATTACTCAAATAAGGAGGGTTGATATGCGGCGGACTTCACTATCAATTCCTTATTTTGGCAAATGCTGAGAATGTTAATTCTAACTGTGATGAACGGTAGTCCGCTCCAAACACAGTTTGAATTATTTTGAATTCAAACGCCGTATGACAAATTTAAACGCTATTGTTCGCGAACCGAGAGTACAAAGTTCGGCTACGAACGAAATCAGCTGATATCGCTCGAAGGAGCGAAGGACACAGGAAGCGGAAAGAAAAAGAACACAAACTAGGAAGCGAACGTAAGAGAGAGAGAGAGAGAGATCGAAGACGATCAGAATCGGGCTCTGAGCGGGCCCGAGAGAGGAAGAGAGAGGAACACGAAAATCGTTACAGAGATGGACAGGAAATCGGGAGAAAGAAAGGAACATTCAGAAACGTAATTTTCCTTTTGTTGTGTCGTTAAATTACTAATTTATTTAGCACTGAATCCTAATCTTTAATTTTAATATCGATTAGGAAAATATGACGAAATTTGCAACTGTGGGTTTGTTACACTTTGAATTACGCGTTATAAGCAAAACCGCACAAGTAGATCACGTTTCGTCGATCGCGTATTTCAATTATTTCGATTCACTCTTAGCGATGATTATTACGGTCAGATTCGCTTCGATTCTCGAAAAAGACTGCCTCGTCGTTCGAACGAGCGCTGACGATTACCTCAATATTGAGAAGGGAGAATACAATAGAAGACCTGTCTTTTGAAACGGTGACACAAACAAGTAATAAACGACGAAAATACAAAACAAGTCATCAGCGAAGAAGATACAATATCGGACATGACTTGATATAAAAATAACGGACATAATATTGACAAAATTATTTGCTCCATCCTGAACATACCGCCCGCCTTGAAACGACAGTTTCAAAAGGAGAAGAAACTCCAAACAAAATCTTTTAAAGAAAGGAAAGTAACAAAACTGCGATAAAGAAGAGAAAAAAAAAGAAAAAAAATTAAAGCTGATTTCGAGGCGGGTTATACGTTGTTTACATTAATCCGTTGCATGTCGTCGCAGTGGTTTCTAACTTGTCGACATTGATAAGTAATAAACATATTTTGACTATTGGACGCTTATACGTGGATGACGCGGTTTTGACGGTTACGACGCGGACTAATCCATCTAGGCCAGCGTGGCATTGTATTATGCGACCTAACTCCCATTTGCAGGGCGGTAGCAAAGGGTTATGAAGCAGGACGAGTTGTCCGACGTGAATAGCATTTTGCGCGAGCTTATTCCATTTAAATCTTTGTTGCAATGTGTTGACATAGTCGTGTTGCCAAAGTTTCCAAAATCTCTCGGTGAGTTGTCGAACGATTTTCCATCGCGACAGACGATTTTCTTTGATTTCAAGAACGGAAGGTTCTGGAATCGCAGTTAACGCGGATCCGATCAAGAAGTGACCGGGAGTAAGTGGCTCGTAATCTTCGACCGTGTCATGAAGCGGTGCGATCGGTCGCGAGTTAAGGCACGCTTCAATATTGCATAAGAGAGTCGTAAACTCTTCAAAGGTCAGAGTGTGTGTCCCCATTACCCGGCGTAAATGATGTTTTACGCTCCGCACTCCAGCCTCCCACAATCCGCCGAAGTGAGGAGATGAAGGCGGCAGAAAATGCCATTGAACTTTCTCGGAAGCAGTGCGATTTAATAGATTCGGATCTCGGAGCGTTGCGCGAAATGCAGCGGCAAGTTCGCGATCGGCTCCGACAAACGTGGTACCATTGTCGGAGTAGATCGACTCAGGAAGTCCTCGTCTTGCACAGAATCGCGCGTAAGCTCCCAAAAACGCAGAAGTGGAGTAACCGTCCACGACTTCGAGATGTACGGCTCGGGAGGCCATGCAAACGAATAGCGCGATGTAAGCCTTGGTAGCAGAGCGTCCGCGACCGGATAATGCTCGAATTGACACGGGTCCGGCGTAATCCAACCCGCAATGCAAGAACGCGCGAGTGGGAGCGTTAACGCGTACGGAAGGTAAATTTCCCATGAGTTGCACGGGATAAACGGCTTTTTCGCGAGTACAGGCTACGCATTGATGAATGACGGATTTTATTAAAGTTTGAGCGCGCAGAATCCAGAACTCCTGTCGTAAGGTGGCAAGAGTTAATTGCGTTCCAGCATGGAGCGATCGTAAATGAGCATGCCGAATGATTAATTTAATCAATGGATGAGAAGCAAGGATTACCGGGTGCTTTGCTGTAAATGGAATGGAGGCGTGAGATAACCGCCCGCCAACGCGGATTAATTGATCGTCGCCAATAAACGGATTGAGTATTAAGAGCGCGCTTCTTGACGAGATTTTTTTGTTATTTAATAACGCGTCTCGTTCGAGCGGAAAAACATTTTCTTGAATTCGTTTTAGCCAGAATTCTTTCGCTTTCTGGCATTCGTCAGCGGTCAATGCGGCTGAATTGGTTTTGAATCTCTGATGTAATACAATGGGATGACGCAAGCGATGAATGTACCGCATTACATACGCGGTGATGCGAATCAATTTTGTCCACGAGGAATATCGCGAGGCGAGATCCCAGGGTTTGACCGATCGCATGAGATGACTGAGAACGTGAGACTTTTGGTCGAGCTCAGTTTCGTGTACCAGCGGATCGGTTTGAGTCGGCCATTCCGAAGACGGCATAAGTAGCCATTCGGGCCCGCGCCACCATAGAGTATGGGATGCTAGCGAATGACCGGAGATTCCTCGCGATGCGCAGTCGGCAGGATTTTCGTGAGTCGAAATATGTCGCCATTTTGCGGATGGAATTCGCGTTTGGATTTGTGACACGCGGTTTGAGACAAAGGTCTTCCAGCGGGAAGGATGTTGATTCACCCATGCTAACACAATAGTTGAATCAGTCCAACAGTAGCAGGACACGTCAGGAATGTGAAGGGAATTACGAACAAATTCAATTAATCGAGCCATTAATAAGGCCGCAGATAATTCTAGTCGCGGAATACTTAAGGTTTTTACTGGGGCGACCTTTGATTTGCTCATTAATAAATTTACATTGATTTCGCCGGAGAGCGATATAATACGCATGTAAACGGCAGCGTCGTACGCCGCGTTCGACGCGTCGGAAAAACCGTGGAGTTCGCAATGTACGGTGTCAGAGCCTCGCTGAATCCACCGATTAAGCTAAAGACCGTTGACTTCAGTTAAAGATGTTTGAAGTACATTCCATTGATCTAGCAGTGGAGGGGGGAGTTGATCGTCCCACTCTAATTTACATTGCCATAATTTTTGCAAAAATATCTTGGCATTAATTGTCACTGGAGTGCTCCAACCTAACGGGTCGAAGAATTTAGCAATGGCTGATAGAATGGATCTTTTAGTGGTGACGTCAACAATCGGAAACGACACATTGAACCAAAATATATCAGATGCTGGATTCCAGCTAATGCCAAGAATTTTTAATTGCTTATCGAATTGCAACGGTTTATTACATGCTAATCCGTAATCCTCGACTGCTATATCATTGAGAAGGTGGACGGAATTGCTCGACCATTTTCGTAATTCGAAGAGTCCGCATTTTAACAAAGCACAGACTTGACTTCGCATTTGTCGAAGGAGAGGAATATCGTCCGCTCCGAATAAAACGTCGTCGACGTATATGTTATCCTGTAATACCGGAACCGCGAGCGGAAACGAATGGCCTTCGTCGAGAATGAGCTGCCGAAGTACGCGCAAAGCAAGAAATGGAGCAGACGCGATGCCGTACGTTACTGTCGTTAATTGATACTCTTTGGCGCATTCGGTTTCGCTGTCAGCCCACAATATTCTCTGATAATTGACGTCGCGAGAGTCGACTGAAATTTGGCGATACATTTTTGCGATGTCGGCCGAGTAAACATAACGAAATTGTCGCCACCGCAGTACGACGGCTGAGAGATCCGTCTGCAGTTTTGGGCCAGTAAGTAAATGGTCATTTAATGATGTAGAGTTCGTCGTTATACTAGACGCGTTAAATACGACTCTCAAACGTGTCGTGACGCTACTCTCGCGAATGACCGGGTGATGCGGAATGTATACGCACTGCGTTGAAAACGCTCTTGAACTTGTCACCTCTCTCATGTGTCCAAGGGCTTCATACTCGTGCAGAAATTTCGTGTATTCTAATTTTAACTCGTTGCTGCTTTTGAACCGACGATGTACGCTCTTGAGGAGACGTTCGGCTGTGTTGCGCGATTGACCTATGTCGATCGGAGGGCCTTTTCGGAACGGAAGGCGGACAACGTATCGCCCGTCGGCGCAACGCGAATGAGTTGTGAGAAAGTGTTCCTCACATTGCTGCTCTTCTGGGCTGAGGATCGCACGCTGAGGAATTTCCTCAATTTCCCAGAATCTGCGCAGTTTACTTTCTAGAGATAGCGCATTTGCACAATGTTGCACGGATATGGATCGGCGTGATGAAATACCGGACATCGGTCCCGAGAGTATCCATCCGAAAATAGTGTTTTGCGCAAGCGGTGTCCCCTTATCCCCTCTTCGCACACCGTCTACAATTAATTCGCTATATAGATCCGCACCGATAATAAGGTCAATGCGATCGGGGCTGGTAGAGTCGGGATCCGCGAGCGTGAGATCGGATAAATGATTCCAATCACTCGTTGAGTTTATTAGCGGCGGCGTGTATTTAGTCAGTGAGTGCATTATTGACGCGGTGCTTGTAAGAGTCGGATAGGAGGCATCGCGTGGAGACAATTTAATTTGAGCCGCGAAACGACAGGTACCGGCATCGACTCCGCCGACGGCGGAGATTGAAATCGGTAGTTTGATACGACGCAATTTTAGAGTTTGGACAATTTGTTCGGTAATAAAGGTTATTTCGGATCCTTGATCGAGTAAAGCTCGAGCGATAACTGTTCGACCTGAAGGAGATCCGATTTTTACGCGCGCGGTTGCGAGAAGAACGGAAGGGCGAGATTGTAATCTTGACGCAGAAAACAACGACGTGGCATTATCGGTCATTATCTCCGATGTCGACTTTGATGTCGTAGGAAGAACAGTCTCGGTTGCCGACGGCGAGGACTCGAGGTGAAGCATAGAATAATGCTTCCATTGACAAGCGCGACACGAGTACTTGCTCGGACAGGCTTGGACAGCATGCTTCGCACTCAAGCAATTTACGCAACGTTTTGCCTGTTTGACTATTTCTAAGCGCTGAGTCGGAGTCTTTTGAATAAAGAGCGCGCACTTATTTATAAAATGAGATCCCTTACAAACGGGACACGACGCAGCCGATGAAGCGGAGGCGGTATTGCTGTTTATCTTTTGTGATCGCGTAGGCTTTGTGAGGCTGAGAGGAGTGAGTTCTTCGAGAGCGCGCGCACGAGAGGAGATGAAACGATCCAAATCTTCGTATGTCGGAATATCACTATTGTCACTTCCTCTGAGTTTCCAGGCCTTCCGCGTTGAATGATCTAGTTTTTGCGAAACGCAGTAGATTAGCATGTCGCTTAGAATCTCCGCGGGCGTACGATTTAATGTTTTGAGCGATGCGAGGGCTCGATTCGCTTTATCCCGTAATTCGTTTAGTTCAAACGCGTTTTCGCGAGAGACTGTCGGCATATTATATAGGGCAGACACATGCACTTCAATTAATCGACGTTTATTTTCGTAACGAGACACTAGAGCTTTCCATGCTATTTCGAAGTTGTCTGCAGTGATTGGAGTGTTCTTTATTGATTTGAGAGCGCGACCCGTAAGGCTCGAAACGAGAAAATGCATCCGTGCAAAATTTGACAGGTCTTTGTTCATGATGATAAGAGACGTGAAACGATCTCGAAAACTTTCCCAGTCTTCACACTTACCGGAAAACGGAGGAATAAGAATTGGCGGCAAGTGAGATAATGAGAACGACTCATCGCGTTTACTAACTACGGAGCCGAACGACGAGTTTGCGTTAGCCGTCGGCTCGATCGCCTCGAGACACTCGGCCATGTAGTCCAGCGTGTTTTGGTAAATGTCTTCGTAATCATCGAGCTGCTGCTTTTTGAAGTAATCCATGGTTTCCCTTTTAGCTTCTGGAATAGCATGGATTAATGCTGTGTGAGTTTGAAGGCACTGGGACCAGGTTTCTTTTAGCGTGGAAACTCGCGATCGGATTTTTGCACTTGTCAAATTGTTCTTCCCGATTTTTTTGAAATTGTCTAATGAACGAGCAACCAAATGAAGCAGCGCTTGCTGCGCTAAGATGAGTTCACTCATTTTGCTAAATAAATTAGTTAGTTCCGCACGACACTGAGATGAGAGTACCGCTCGGATATCCTATCCGGCTCGAAGGACCAAAATTATGTTCGCGAACCGAGAGTACAAAGTTCGGCTACGAACGAAATCAGCTGATATCGCTCGAAGGAGCGAAGGACACAGGAAGCGGAAAGAAAAAGAACACAAACTAGGAAGCGAACGTAAGAGAGAGAGAGAGAGAGAGATCGAAGACGATCAGAATCGGGCTCTGAGCGGGCCCGAGAGAGGAAGAGAGAGGAACACGAAAATCGTTACAGAGATGGACAGGAAATCGAGGGAAAGAAAGGAACATTCAGAAACGTAATTTTCCTTTTGTTGTGTCGTTAAATTACTAATTTATTTAGCACTGAATCCTAATCTTTAATTTTAATATCGATTAGGAAAATATGACGAAATTTGCAACTGTGGGTTTGTTACACTTTGAATTACGCGTTATAAGCAAAACCGCACAAGTAGATCACGTTTCGTCGATCGCGTATTTCAATTATTTCGATTCACTCTTAGCGATGATTATTACGGTCAGATTCGCTTCGATTCTCGAAAAAGACTGCCTCGTCGTTCGAACGAGCGCTGACGATTACCTCAATATTGAGAAGGGAGAATACAATAGAAGACCTGTCTTTTGAAACGGTGACACAAACAAGTAATAAACGACAAAAATACAAAACAAGTCATCAGCGAAGAAGATACAATATCGGACATGACTTGATATAAAAATAACGGACATAATATTGACAAAATTATTTGCTCCATCCTGAACAGCTATCGTATTTTATCACGGGAGTGGAAGTTTTGAAGAATACTGAACACTAGTTTTCACACATGAATACACTGATTTATTCGTATAGTAGTACAAAATTCGAGACTAAAACTTAGAATTAGAATTTAGATTTAGACTTAGAATTTAGAGTTAGAATATTATACTTAGAGTTAGAATTTTAGAATTAGAGTTAGGATTTAGAATTTGGACTTAGAATTTAGAAGTGCGACTATACTGTTCGGTGTCGCGTAGAGAACTGCCGAAATTCGGGACTGCTCTGAGGTCCTTCGTTTCGGCGGCTCGGGCCTGCGGCGGCCTGGAAAGGGGGAACTCTCCGGAGTAGGGGCTCTCACCGTGGTGGGAGACCCTTAGGCGCTACGAAGCGCCACGCTTAATTTCTAGGCGGAGTTAAGCGTCATGGCCGGCTTTGGCGCGCTTTTCAAATAGCGTTTAAGGAACTTGGAGTAAACGAAAAAATTTATACGGCCGGACGTGACACTGCCCTCTCGGAATCCGTATTGACAATCCGCTAGGTCGGGTCCTGCCGCCGACAGGTGGTCCCTGAGGCGGGCGGCTATTATCCTTTCGAACAGCTTGCCCGCCTCGTCCAGTAGACATATGGGGCGATACGCCGCGGGCGAGTCTGCGGGGCGCCCCTCCTTTCTCAACAGGACCAACTTGGCTTTTTTCCATATTATGGGAAACTGTCCCGTTCTGAAGCAGCTATCGAATAGCTGCCTCAGTCGACCCCAAGGACGCCTAAAGCCAAGACCCAGGCCTTTTCCGGTATACCATCCGGCCCCGGGGCTGTGTTTTTAGCCCGGAGCCGTTTGACTGCTCGGACGAGCTCCCTCCCGGTGACCCCCAGGCCCTTCGACCACCCATTATGGGCCGCGGGACCCAGGGGTTTGTCTCCACTCTCCTCCGACTCGTCTGGGGGGAAGAGGGTGGAGACAACCTCCTTCAAGATGTCTGGTTGGAGACCCTCAGTAATTGGGGGCCCCCCTGATCGGAGTTTCTTTCTCACGATTTGGTAGGGGCGCCCCCATGGGTCCTTGTTGAGGGTCTCCAGGAGCTCGTCTCATGCCCGGGCCTTGACCTCCCTGATGGCCCGCTGTAGGGTCTTCTTCGCTGACTTGTAGTCCTCCAGCAACTCTGCCGCCTTTTCGTTGGTGTGACGCCTGCGTTTGCATCGGGTGTTTTGGTGTCTCGAGCGGATGCACACCGCTCTCATCCACGATATCTCCTGAGACCACCAATACACCCCTCTCCTTTTGTTGTTGGCCTGGCACCTCGGCATGGCGGAGTCACAAATCTCCGTCATTGCCGAGCGGAACCAGGCCGCTTTTCCGTTCGCGTCGCTGGCGTCGGGCGTGGGGGAATCTTCCCACGCCTTCGCTACGGCGGCCGCCATCAGGGCGTCCTTGTCTAGGCGCTTTAGCGCCCATCGGGGGGGTAGGGGTGTACCCCGTCTCTCCTCCTGGGGGGGCGTGGCTGGCGCCCCGCCGAGGGGTCAGAGATCACCATTTTTATATATCTGTGATCAGATAGACTCTCCGACCCCACCATCACTCGCCAACCACTTACCATGCGTGCGGCTTGTGGGGATCCCCAGGTGACATCTATTACGGATCCGCCATAGTACCGCACGCATGTAAACTCCAACCCTCTGTTAATAATCAAAAGGTCGAGCTGTGCCCTCCACTCTTCTAGGACCTTGCCCCTAGCGTTGGTCACTGGAGAACCCCACGCATCGGATTTTGCGTTGAGGTCCCCCATGACCAAGACCCTACCCAGGAGGTGGCGACTTACCTCGTCCGCCAACTTACCCAGGTACTCCTCGAATTGGGCGAGATCTCTGTTTGGAGAAAAATACACCCCACCACAACAGTTTCCCCTCATTTTGCCGACACATAGCCCTCCCCCTATCCCTGATGGGAAAGGGGGAGGGCTATGTGTCGGCAAATTTTCCATCAGGGATAGGGGGAGTGCTTCCCTCTCTGCTTTTCCGATAATGGTGACGAGATCCACCTCATCCCCTATCCAGTTATCTTTCTGGAGGACTCGGTAAGGCTCCGCCACCACGGCCAAATCTATATTCCACTCCGTCAGGTGTTGCATTAGCAGGTCTTGCGCCCTGGCGGAGTGGTTAATATTAGCTTGAAGGAGAAGAGCCTTCATTGTTGTTGTTTGCTCTTCTCCTCCCTTCTGACCTCCTTTCTGTTAACAGCCGTGTTGGCTGCCTTTTTGGGTGCCGTTGTGCCCCTTCCTTCCCCCTTATTTGTTTTTGGCTCCTGCTTGCCCTTGAACCCTCTTTTTTGGCTTGCTTTTGCGTAGTTGCAAGCCTTGCCCCCGTATCTATGATCCGCCTTGTACCCGTGGTCTTTGCAGAACGGGCAACGTGTCGGGGGGCCTGCGGAATTTTCCGACTGCGCATTATTGTAAGCTCGTTTGCGGCAGTCCTGTATTTCATGCCCCGGGTGTTTGCAATAACGACATCATACGGCGTCGTTGGTCGCGCGCGTCGCGGGCGTTTGATAGCGTCCTACATTCCTAGTGTCGTATGAGGGAGGCTGCGCTCGCCAGTTTGTTTGGGCGGGACTGCGGTTATGCTGCCGCGCAGGGGCTTGGTACCCTCCGGCATGGTTCCCAGTGTTATTAGGTTGCGGGGGTGTTGTTCGTGGGGCATTTGCCGCGGGTCTCGCGTTACGTTGGCGGTCTAGCTCTTCGCGTTTCGCGAAGATCTTCGCGGTCGAGAAGGCGTCGAAGGGACGCGAGTAGTGCTCCGGTTGCATTTGAAGCCGATATTGCAGAGGTAGGCCGTCGCAGAAAGATCGCGCGGTGAAAGCATCTACCTCACTTATGACGGCGTAGTTAAGGGCCCCGCGTTCGTATCGTTCCGCGTCCAGAATGGCGGTTCGCAGATCCTTGATTCGGCTGACGTCGAGCATATGCTCACCTGATGCTAAATAGCATGCGCTGAGGTCGCCGCGATATTGGTCTAAAGTTTTGAGGGACCCGAATGCTCCGTTGAGCAAATCGATCAGCTGGGTGATTGTCTCGCACGGCTCGTCCTCTACGGCGTAGTAGGCTCTTCCACGGAGTTTGTTTATGATCAATTTGGTTAAGTTCCTTTCGGATAAAAAAGGTACTATATCTCTAGCGCGCCGGCACGCTCGTGTGAATTGGGCTAAGGGGACGTTGTAACCATCAAAGTTCGGTACCGATTCGGTGGCTTCTCGGAATGAGACTTTTGGGTTTATAGAGGCGTCATGCATGCCGTCCGTGGTTTCGAAATCGCGAGTGTAGCGCCCATGCGGCTCTCGAGTCCTATTGATCAATAACATGGGGTCGTTGTCGGGGCTAGTCCCCGCTTGACCCTTCAGCCTTTCGATCTCGTGCATCATTTCCTCCCGAAAGACAGCAAGGATTTCTGTGATGTCGTTCTCTTTCTGGTGTTTCCTTTCGGCCTCCTTTTCCATGTCGAATTCAGCGCGTTGTTTATTGAGACGCGCAGTGTTGTCTCGGAGTTGTTGCTCTTGTTACGTCCAATAATTCATCTGGCGATAAATTACCTTTTGCACAAGACGGTCTTCTCTCGCGTCTACCTCGGTGGACGTTTGAGAAGCTGCTCTCTATTTGTTTTATGGGCAACCTGCTAGGCCGGCTATACCCAGGGGAGCAGAGAGCTTGAGATTCGATTGAGAGTATCGGACAGAGAAGGAAACTGACGGGTCGGGTCGATAAATAAAGATATTTTACAAATATAATGCCATTTATTCATTTATAAAACCTTCCTATTGATATAAATTTTATTGGTCCTGACGTGGTTCGTGAGGAGCTCGAAATTGAGTTACAATATTGCTAAGCTCCTGTTCCGAATTATTAGACTGAATGAGGTAAGTAATAAAAGAAGTAAAGTCGTCCTGAGCTTCTTCTGAGATGAAGTTACGAGTGCCGTCGGATGTGAGGTTCACGGTATCCTCGTCAAGAATATTAAAGTTTTGTTCGTGATTAAATTGTAAAGTGGAATCGTACTCTGGCGATGTAATTGGTTGGTTTTGATCCAGGATATAATATTCAGGATCGGGTAAGAATTGATGATTAGGGTTCGATATTAACGTATTTGATTCTAACGGTGAAGGCTCCGGAAATTGCGGATGAGAATAATCAATGTAAGGGGGGATATTGTTAATTGGCG